AGGCATACGCACCGGAGGGTAGAGGGGGAGCGAGCGCGGCCAGACACGCGGTGACGCCGGGCATGTCCGTGGTGTGTATAAGAGATAAGTGTGAGAAAGATGTAACGTTTGCATCGTATTAAATGCTTATGGGAGTTATTTTTGCGTTATGTAAAAGAAGGTGTGAGTGAGAGGGAAACAGTGTGAGTGAGATAGACAGAGCGAGCGGTGAGGCATACGCACCGGAGGGTAGAGGGGGAGCGAGCGCGGCCAGACACGCGGTGACGCCGGCCGTGTCCGTGGTGTGTATAAGAGATAAGTGAGAAAGATGTAACGTTTGCGTCGTATTAAATGCTTATGGGACTTATTTTTGCGTTATGTAAGAGAAGGTGTGAGCGAGAGGGAAACAGTGTGAGAGAGATAGACAGAGCGAGCGGTCAGGCATACGCACCGGAAGGGAGGTTGGGTGCCAGCGCGGCCAGACACGCGGTGACGCCGGCCGTGTCCGTGGTGTGTATAAGAGATAAGTGTGAAAAAGATGTAACGTTTGCGTCGTATTAAATGCTTATGGGAGTTATTTTTGCGTTATGTAAGAGAAGGTGTGAGTGAGAGGGAAACAGTGTGAGAGAGATAGACTGAGCGAGCTGTGAGGCATACGCACCGGAGGGTAGAGGGGGAGCGAGCGCGGCCAGACACGCGGTGACGCCGGGCATGCCCTTCACCAGCGGCAGCGCCTCACCTACAAGCACGCACACGCGCGTCACGCGCCCGACCTCGGGCTGACTGCCCCGGCCCTCTATACGAGTTCATACCCTACTATACCGAGCCCCTCAAACCCTCTGTCACAGCGACTACGAAGCTGGCGGATTTCGTATCAAAAGTCTAAAATTGAAAATATCTTTATTCAAATTGGATGTATACCTTGTTACGAATAAAACGGCACATCCCTAACTTCACTGTTTTAATTATTTTTCGTGCGCGGGTAGTCGTTTTTTTTTGGGCGTTGTAATGGCGTCTTGAGAACTCGCGAGGTTCATGTTCGAATTGGATCACCGATTATATTTGGCTTTGATTTGTTTGTACCGGATATCCCATTGAAATGTTGTGGTAATAACTTCAATTATAAGAATCCTAGTGTTGTTTGTGTAATGTACATGATTTTGTGAAATTGATTGTGAGTGCTAACCTATTTTGGATCGCTATAAGCGCGATTGTTGGATGAGAAGAGTCAAGAGGAATTGTTCTGCCTTCCTATCCCTTGCTATCCATTTCTAAGGCAGAAACAAATCATTTCAATTCAAAAGTCGAATGTTTCTTCAAAAAGTTGGATGCGAGTAGCCCAAGATCTCAATAGCGTGCAATTGGAGAGGCCTATGGTCCAGCAGTGGACTAAAATAGGCTGTTGCGGATGATGAAAGTTTTTTTATTTAAATTGAAAATATATTATAAGTCTTTTAAATGGTTGAATTTTGTTTACGGACATGTTTGTGGACATTTTTTTTTTATTTTAATTCATAACCTATCCTACTACTGTTTGCAAAATGAAGATACTTTTGATTTTACGTCAAGGTTTGACATCTGCAAGCTAAAAATCACCAAATCAAGTTTTTGCGTAATCATGTTTACGAAACAAAATCATTGAAATCCGAGATTTCCATGATGGCAATATTATTCTCATCCGGACATCCTAGCCCCAAAGTAAGCACTGTAGGCTTGTGTTATGGGATGCTAGGGTAACTGATAGAATAGATATACTGATACATATATAAGTAAGTATATTTATATAGAAATTTATATTAAACATCCATGACTGGAGAACAAATGCTCGTATTCATCACACAAACATCTGCCCCCACCGGGATTCGATTACGGGACCTCTCGAGTTGGCGACACCTTGAAACCCAGCGTACAAACCACTCGGCCATGGAGGTCGTCATTAATTCAATAACGATATAAAAAAAAACTTGTCTCCATCGCACAGCTGCAATCGGTAAACTTTTTGATTACGCCATACGTACTTTTTTGGGGAATTTTGTATTAATTGTACGACTCCATCTTGACATTTTCACAGTGATGTCAGTGTCTCATACTGACATCACTTTGAAAATGTCAAGATGGAGTCGTAAAATTTTAACTTATATGATAAGTAAGTGACTTCATTGGTTGTTTTTATGCGTTCTTTATAATCTGGCTAAATTTTATCGCATCTCGGAATTTCAAAACAATAATTTCAACACGAAACTCTGTAATTGACGTGCGTGTCGCTCAGCGTTACATTGAACACTAAGTGTCGGGAAACGGCTTAGAGTCCCGCAATTGACTCATATTTTTTTTTTCAACGTCATCTGCGCTGCCACGTTCTATCTAAGAGTAAATTATCAAAGTTCATCCAGTAGTAAACTATAAACACCAACTTTTCATTATTACTATCCCGAAATACTCCAACCACGTGGTCTCTGTGACAGTGTACACCGTAACGTGCCTTAGACAAGTCTCTAACGGTGCTATGCATCCGAAATACACAAAAAATCAATCTAACCAAAAAAGTTTCTTATTTCTAAGCATTTAAAGTTGAATTTCGGAGCAAAGAACCGTTCCAATATAAACTTGGAGGCACGGCATCGCATCGCTCAAGCGATGACGCAAACTAAAACCAAATTATAATACGCAACTAGTGCCGGCGAGTGAATGCGAGTCTAATGTTCCATGAGCTGTGAGTAAAGAAGCCTAATTAAGGAGGTCACTACCAACACGCATGCAAGTTACTTTTCAACTTAGCCGTATAACCGTTGTAATGAGGGCTACCGTTTTCTGTCTCACCAGATGGCGCCACTGTTGAGTGAGGTCCTAAATTGTAACTTTTAAAGTTTATTAATACGCACATGAAATCAAAGGTTACATTTAGATCGTATTTTAACACAAAAGAACCATATCCTAAACATAATAGGCCATGCCACAGTGACGCCCAGTTCCGTTTTATTCGGAAAAAATGGGAACATAATCATTTTTCTAAGCTCAAATTTTTAATAACTGACATTCATTGCCACATAACTCATATTTGCCATAATTAAGCTGAATTGTTTCCAATTATTCACAACATTATTTTAATAAGAAATAAACCCGCGTAGACAACCAATAAGCAATAACATTTGACATTTCGGAGACCTCACGCTACACTAGCGCCTCTAGCGGCGGATTCATACGCGATAGCCCTCATTGCAAAACATTCAAGCATGCCTCTTAACTCAAAACCAATACAAGCACAAACCAGTCAGCTGAAAGAAAACCTCGGAAAATGTATGAAAATATTGAAAAGCACAGTTGAAACACGTTGAAAAAGTGTTTTATTCTGATGAAAGAAATCTCGATATACTTGATTCTCTCTTGTACTAGCTGACTGAATTACATTTGCATCGCATAAACTTACTAGTGGGTCACAGCTTGTAGTTATGAACGACAAAGCTACAGTATGATCCTTGAATTAAAAAAAAACTCATCCAATTCAAAAGCAACCTATGTTAAGATTGTATACCGTTAGATATAGATGTGATGGAAATACATAAAAGCGTTTAAATATTTGATACTACTATTGATAAAAAAATCTATATATTTTAGTATCATACGTTTCAGAAATTCCATTCAAATCACTTCATAATGAATTGTTCAATGTTTCTCTTGACTAATAAAGCCATTATAACCATATTAGTAAGGGAATAAAGCTTTTGTATTCAGTCAATGATGATCCACACATACCTCCATTTACATATTCAGATGTTAACAAGTCCACAGACCAAATAATTATACGCAAACCCATGCAGAAATTAAAATAAAGCGACCAGCAAATAATACATAATAATGATAAATAGAAACAGATAATGTGTCTAAAATATGTAAACATAAATTGTCGAATATGAATGGTGTGCAAATAATAAATAAACATTAAAAATAACATTTGCCAAATTTTACATAAAATTAATATGTCATATAATTTACAATTATAGAGATAAACCTTAAAAATCATATTATACTTTTTATGATGTAGCCAATCAATGTATATAATAAAATTATACCACATATGTTTCATATCATAATAATAATTATTAATATTTTAATATTAAATGTGAATAATTCAAATTCAAAATATATAAAGGTTACCTATCGTGACCGGGAATCGAACCTGATCGATGTGAACGTATCATGTCATTAGCTATTGAAGTAAGAATAACGCTTACTAATCACAAAGAAAAATGCTGCTATATTCGTTAAAACAAATTATACTTTGATCAGGCTGTGAAATAATGACGCAAACTGAAATTTAAACGTTAACACGCACAGCAATTTGGCATCCTTTTTCATGAATATAACATGTTGATATATCAGCTGCTGGTATTCGACAAATTTTCACCCAACCATCAGATTTTAGTGACAAAAGCTGAGATAGCTTCCTAGTTACTGCGATGGTTTTTTGTTTATACAGGGTGTAAAAAACCGATGACAAAGACTAAAACTACGCATTCTGTACACCCAAACAAGTAATAAAGTAATCTTACATAATATTATACGTGGGAATCATTTGTATTTTTAAGTTAAAAAAAAATCTCTAATTTTCTTTTTCCAGTACGCAAAGTGTAGCGCGCTGCGCTACTGTGGCGCTACGCAAAGAATGTGCCTGTGTGTATGTAAGTGCGTCGATAAAAAAGTTTCTCAATAACATTTTGAAAATATTAATGTATAAATCTTGAAAAAAAAATGTGACTTTAACCTTCAATATCTCCATAGTCATAAATTTCCCAGGTATGGTTCGGTAGAAAAAAATGATCGTCATGATGTGGATAATACGTGTCTTTTGACTTCGTTAAAGGTTTTTTTACACCCTGTATATGTATATGCTTTTTCGTAACATTTAACACCAGTCCATCACAATTTGGTGACAACAGCTAAGATGGATATCAAATATACCATCACAGATCCGTGAGTCATTGCAATATGAGCTCTACGTCTAGGTATTAAGATGTTCATACCTTCATGCGCTCCGTTGGCAGCGGGTGTGGTCATTTCCACGTCTGTCGTTTCTGGTGTCCCACCGCTTACACCTTTAAAGGACAAAATTACAAATTTATAAAGAACAAGTGGCCTCGCTTCGCTTCGGTGTAGAGCTGTAGTGTATGTAGATTTAAATAGACTCTTTATACATAATTATAAGTATAAGTAATATTAAAAAAAACTGAAAATGGTATATTTGCCTTTTCCAAACTTCTATTGACATTACGTCGCTCAATTGTTTTGCCTTCCCAGAATCTCTCCACTAACATTTGAAATGTATGGTATGTTATTAAAGTTTAATTTGACTTAAGTATTATTACGAATCGTTTGTATGGAAGTATAGAAAAGCGTTTTGTTTTTGGACATTTTCAGGCATTTTTTTTAATTTTCAATCAAATAATGCCGCGCTGGTGACGCTTCCCGATCCCGCCAAAAAGTCCGACCGAGACCTAACACTCACTAGCTTTAAAATGCTATTAAACGAAAGGAAGGTCATTTATAATATACTAGCAAACCAGTGAACCAAATGTTCACCAAAACCTGATTTAAAAAAAAATGTATTTAATTTATTGAGAACTTCGGAGATTTTGTGTGGTTTCGTTTGAAATTCGTGATTTCTCAAAAACCGGAAGTGCTACGTGACTCAAATCCGGTTTGTAGTCTTATCAGACTATTCTTAACTTATAACTTAAACATTCTCTTTATCTATCTCTTACGGTTTGGCCGCTGAAACAGCACCACAGACAGACGGACGGACGGACGGACGGACGGACTTGTCTAATAGATAATATATGCAAAGGTCATAAATGGATATGTACATTCACCGTTCCCGTTGAGCTCGGCGCGACTGGTGTGCGATATGACGGAGGTGGCGACTCCGTTGCTGGCCGCGGTGGCTGCGGCTGTCGCAGCGGCGGCCGCAGCGGCGGTCGCAGCCGCGGTGGAGGGCGCCCCCTTCTCGCCGCTCGCCGTCGCAGCGGCCGACGCAGCCGCCGCCGCTGCCGCCTACGACCAATGGAGTTCAAAGTTAAATACTGTTTCTTGTAGTTTATTTGATGTGTAACATATTTCCTCTCGCTTTCCTGCAATTTGTGGGAGTGATGTCGTGAAATGGGACGGAAGAGTGTAACAGAGGAAGTCGCGAAAGCGCGCGCTATTTGATTTAATTTTAGAACATTGTTCAAATGGCTCATTCCTTTTGTAGTAGGTTTTATTTCTTTTTTTACTAATATAAGGTGAGGTTTCATATGCTACACGTCATTCGCGACTTCTGTAAGCCTCGCTCGTTCTTTTTTCTTGTTTGACGTTTGCAAGCTTAGAATCACTAAATCAGCCGGTCCATTTCAGTTTAAAATCCTAATTAAAATAATTGTATTCGTGTAATCATGTTTACGAAACAAAATCAATAAGTCCTAGATTTCCATGATGGCAATATAATTCTCATTCGGATGTTACATATTTTTTTTTTCAGTCACACCAATTAGCCTAACCCCATAGTAAGCACTGTAGGCTTGTGTTATGGGATGCTAGGGTAACGGATAAAATACATATACAGTACATATATAAGTATATTTATATAGAAATACATCTTAAACATCCATGACTGGAGTACAAATAATGATCGTATTCATCACACAAACATCTGCCCCCACCGGGATTCGAACCCGGGACTTCTCGAGTAGGCGACACCATGAAACCCGGCATATAAACCACTCGGCCACTTGCGCTTAAAAATGACACGTCACCATCAATATCCTTAGCACGAACCATTATCGAATTTGAATATCAACTATTCGATATCGATATTGGTTCGTGCTAAGATAACGTGAAACTTAAACAGAGGCACGACGGACGTAACGAGAATTAAAAAATCTTTTTGACATTTGACACGCCTCGAAATCGAATTCAACTATTTCGAATGCGATATTGATTGAGTGCTAAGAGTAGAGTACCCTCAGCAAGAACCAATATCGTATTCGTGACGTTTGCGAGTCCGAAATGTCATTGTCAAATGTATAATGATTTTTAGTTCTCGCTACGTACTTTGTGGCTCTGCTGTTCAAGTTTCCATACAAAAGGACACCCGGCATTTTGTGCCAAAGTTGTATACTTTTTTATTTTTTTTATCTGTGTTTCATAATTGGGTAACGTAGTCTGGCAATATTTGTCATCAGCAGCTAGCTGTCAATGTCAAATACATAGGTTTGTCAATATAACCTCTATATGTAGCCGGGTCGTCAAGAGAAATAACGGATAAAAAGGCAATCACAGCAGAGAACATTCACAATCACAGTACGCGGGAGCGGATGCGAAATGCGAATGATTTTTTTGTTTGTATTTTAGGATTGTCAAATTGACATTTGGTTTTTTATTTAGAAAAAGCAACGGAATCATGGTTTTTACAGTCACTTGAGTAATATTTTGAAGTAAAATTCTGTCCCTTGAAGATTTAGGGTTTCCATATCAAAAAATATTAATCATGATATAACTTCTTTCCACGATTCACTAAAAATAAGTAGTTTTAAGTAGCAAATAATTTTGGCTTTATTTTGAGACCAAATTCAACTGTATACAAGTTTAGCATTTTTTCTATGAAAAGTGCCGGGTCTCCTTTGACATTGACATTTCGCACTCGCAAACTATTCGAATTCGAAAATGGTTCGTGCTAGGGGTACAGTTCGCAAATCTGCGAGAGCAGAACTTTTACTAAGCAATATAAGTGAAAAACTTTGTACAATGATGTAAAATGGCAAATGGCTCTCTCTCTCTCTCTATAATATCCACGAACTGTGGGCACTTGAGGTAGGACACCTGGCTCCTAGAACCCTATAGTAGTTTAATGTTACACATGAAAAACTATAACCGCCTAAATAATTAAGGTCTAGGTTCGAATCATGCCTGATGCTTGGACTTAGTTAATTCTCTTCTAGTAAATTATAATCTTAAGACATATTAATCTGGAGGAGGAGGAGCTCGATGACGCGGGTGGTTAGCGCGTTCGGCTGCGATCGTTGAAGCTAAGCAACCTTACGCAGTGGTCGGTCATTGGATGGGTGACCAAAACTTTACTATCTAGAGCTCCTCCGTGCTTCGGAAGGCACGTTAAGCCGTTGGCCCCGGCTGCATCTGCAGTCGTTATCACCTGCCAATCCGCACTGGGCCCGCGTGGTGATTCATGGCCCAATCTCCCTATTCCATCTATAGGGAAGGCCTGTGCCCCAGCAGTGGGGACATCAATAGGGTAATGATAAAAAAATATATAGAAGGTTACCTGTGAGTCTGACCCGTTGACCATCTCGACGAACTGTCGGCACTTGAGGAGGAACACCAGCTCGTGGTTCCTCTCCAGCAGGCCGGGGTACAGGCGCCGCGTCAGCTCTATGGCCTCGCCGATTCGACCCGCCAGCACTAACTTTGATACCCCTGTTGATATCGAAAAGATAAAATTAATACTATAATTTCCTATTATTTTAAAGCATGTAACTGCTTGATGTTTAAATCTAAAGGAAATATAACTAGAAAACTAACAAATTATAACTATAATTGCTATTTCTTCTTTCAAATGTTTAATACTTGTAAAAGTATTCATTTGAAATTGTGGGTTACCTATAATGCGAAGAGATGGCGCTGCCTTGCAGCTTAAGAATGGCTAGAAGAATTTGGAGGGCCGCGGTAGCATAATTGGTCAGTGCATTCGCCCGGATTGCGAAGGGTGCGGGTTCGAGTCCCGTCTGCTGCCTGGTCCGCGTGGATTTTTTTTCTAGTTATATTTCCTTTATATTAATACTAGATTGCTTTATCATCATCATCATTATCAGCCTATTTATCGCTTTTTCTTCTAATAAATAGGCCTCTATAGACTTTCTAGAAAGAGATATGCATAGACATATTAAGGACCACCATTATGGTTCATCTCTCTCATTATTATCTGCTTAATTTTATTTCGCAGTTGGTTAGGGAGCGCGCAGTCTACCTTTACTCTTTGTGTATGCTTTAAAAAAAAACGACGGGTTGCACTCCGGGAGTGCCGGCAGAAGTGAAAACTTGAATATTAACGTTGTGCATTTTTGATATTTTGGAATGGTTAGGAAATAATTTTGCACGAATTGCTTTAATTATCAGTATAAAAGTACAATCGTGTATGTGGTAGAATACAATATTTATTTATTGCGCTATCGTACACAAACATGACAATTTATGTAACATTAAAAAAGTTTATCTCTCAGAAAAATCAACTTACATGAATCACGTTTAAGCGCACCTAGCGACATCTATTGTAAAAAAAATGCATTTTCTTCGCAATAAAGCTGCCAATGTGGACGTCCTAGATAGAGACTTATTATTATAATACGGTAAAATAAAATATTATTATGTTTGTGTCATGATGCGATCAGCCCACGTGTTTAACCTGACGCGAGTTTAACGTTTTTTACCCATACGAAAAAAGTGTACAACGCCGCTAAAGAAGTTTTCACTTCAAAACTCTTTTTGAGTTTCACGTTTAAGATACCTCTTTATTATAAACACCAAGTGACGTACAATATAAAATAACATTCTTCGTGTAAGAGTGTTGCAAACGGCAATCTCATCGCTAACGGCGAATCTCTTCCAGACACTGTAAAGTTTATAAAATAAAGATTCCCGTATCACTGCTCGTGGTGCGTTTCGTTATGCCACACGCTGCGTGGCTGCGTGCGTGTGGTAAAAGCGTGTGACGTCACAGACGCAAATTTTACGCGATGAGCCAGAAATGACAACAGGACCTTTATCACAAATTGCGCTGCCTCGCAATATTTGGATACATAATGATCGGTTCATCATCATCATCATCAGCCTATTAATGTCCCCACTGCTGGGGCACAGGCTTTCCCTATGGATGGAATAGGGAGATTGGGCCATGACCCACCACGCGGGCCCAGTGCGGGTTGGTGGGTATGATCGGTTGATATGGGGTAATCCATAAAGTACGTTACACTAAATACGTGATTTTTTTACCCCTTCCCCGTCCTTGTCACAGTTGGTCAAATTTGTGAGTCCTCCCCTCCCTAGTGTGACGTCACATATTTTGCTGTTTTGAATTTAGAAATTATTATTATTAATACAGCAGTTTCGAAAAAAGCTCCGAAAATTAGCCAAAAAAATAAATAAAGCCCCTATAAAGATCTACATATTTTAAAGATTTTTGATTATAATTCAAAAGTAGGTAAGTATTAGATTTTAAAATGTGACGTCACAAAACTTAGCCCTCCCACCCCTTGTCACACTTGGTCGTCCCCCTCCCTCCCTCTTAATGTGTGACATATTTTATGGTTGTTTGCTATTTTGAATTTAGAAATTATTATTATTAATAAAGCAGATATAGAAATAAGTTCCGAAAATTAGCCAAAAAAATAAATAAAGCCCCTATACAGATCTACATATTTTAAAGATTTTTGATTATAATTCAAAAGTATTAGTTTTTAAAATGTGACGTCACGTAACTTAGACCTCCCACCCCTTGTCACACTTGGTCGACCCCCTCCCTCCCCCTTAATGTGACATATTTTATGGATGGCCCTTGTAGTGTAGTGTAGTGCAGTGTCGTTGTACTCACGCTGACGGTTCTTGATGGACGCGAGGTCCTCGTGTATGGGCTGGGAGGTGGCGCGACAGAACGATTGCGCTGCCCCGCAATAACCGTGGTGAACCAGGTACGTTGATACCATCCTATAAAACAAAACGTTTTATGTATACATAGCTCAACAACAGCCTGGACTCCTGCGCATGTTTTGCCCTACATAATTAACAAAATCATACATACATAATCAACATTCAGCAATATTGTCTGTTCACTACACATATTTGTTTGCATTAGAGATGGGCCTAATCGGTTTTCGAAATGCCGAATAGTCGGCCGACTATTCTGCAATGCCGATCATTCTAATGAAATGAAAAGTCATTTATTCAGTCTAGGCTGTTACAAGCACTTGTGAAGGTCAAGAAACTACGCCATCGGTTCGCAAAACTACGGCGGGAGACCTTGTACTGAGAAGAACCGGCAAGAAACTCAGCAAGGGCTGCTTTTTTCTCCCTGTATTGATATATACAGAGTCGTCAGGTAGAAAAATGACTTCAGAGATACTTCTGAAGTCACCTTCCATTACATTATTTAGGATATAGATATATAGTTACAATAAATTTTATATTTAGTATATAGGAAGCGGCATTAGATAGGTATATACCATATTACTGTTACAAAAACTGACTCATACCCATCAAATAACAAATTACAAGAAACACTATGTCCATGCATTTCAATCATTTAAATAATCATTAACTTTATAATAGCCCTTATTCATAATACCTATCTTATAGGAAGGAGTTCGGAATATTTCGTCACTACTTGGCTTGCGCACGTACGACACGAGTCTCCCAAATCAAGCCGAAATATTCACGTTTCAACATCGAAATTTGCCTCTAGGAAAAAAAATACCCGTGGACTTCTTTAAGACTTGCTAGAACTTAAGATTTTACTCAATTAATACATACTTACTTCCCATTGCTATTTTGTTACTGCGATATTAATTGTAGTTATCTGAATTACTGACAAATTCCTAAGTTCCTAATTCTTATTATGTAACCTTATTTTTTTTATTTTAGGACTGTAGGTAACTTTAAATGCATACTCTAGGTAGGTAAGTAGGTAGGTTTAAATATTCAAAACAAGCATAAGTTTTGAGTTTTATTTCATTTTTATATGTGCGATTAGTCGGCGGCTATTCCGCCGACTAATCGCCGACTATAGACTATGCCGAATAGTCGTCTGCCCCGACTAGTCGGCGGCTAGGCGGCCCATCTCTAGTTTGCATCAACAATATCTCTGCTTTATAGCTATTAACGGGATTGTTACCATGTACCTTGTTTTTTATGAGTCTCCGATATTTCGGCACTGTTGCAAGCGCCATGATCAGAGAGTAATATCTCTGCTTTCCGATTTCAGAAAAGTTTTGCAAAATACTTCTTTTTGTTACTTTGTTTAGTTTCAATTGTTCCTATGAGTGTAGATAGACTAGTGTATGCAACTGCATATAATTTATGTATTAAAACACTCGATCTGTAGACCTTCAATTCAAATAGAATTTATTTAGTTTAGGATTTTACAAGCACATGTTAAAGTCGAAAACCACGCCGTCGGTTCGCAAAACAACGGCGGGAGAGCTTGTACTGAGAAGACCCGGCAAGAAACTCAGCAAGGGCAGCTCTTTTCTCCCTGTTTTATTTTATACAGTGTTGTCAAATTGAAAGTTGACATCAAACTTGCAAACATGTGTTGAGGTCAACTTCCGACATCCTTCTTAGGGGCTGTCCATTAATCACTTGAGGCTCGAAAGGGGAGGAAGGGGTTCAATATAAATCACGAAATATCACAAGGGGGAGGAAGGGCGTAGTAATATATCTCGTGTATTTCCGTGGTCCGAGGATACTGTACATTAAATAATGTTCATGTATTAGTTCAAAAAAGCTTTTCGCATTTCTTTCATTATTTTTATGTCAGTCAAAAACTACCTACAACCTTTCTGTCGTAATAACTAAGAAGAAAGCTGCGCGCGCAGCTCCCGCAGCATGTCGTATGTACCGGGTACCTGTGCAGCACGTTCTGCCAGTGCGCCTGGTCTGGGAGCGGGTGCGTGTGTATGGCGAGGCGGGTCCGCGCGCGCAGCTCCCGCAGCATGTCGTCTGTACCGGGTACCTGTGCAGCACGTTCTGCCAGTGCGCCTGGTCTGGGAGCGGGTGCGTGTGTATGGCGAGGCGGGTCCGCGCGCGCAGCTCCCGCAGCATGTCGTCTGTACCGGGTACCTGTGCAGCACGTTCTGCCAGTGCGCCTGGTCTGGGAGCGGGTGCGTGTGTATGGCGAGGCGGGTCCGCGCGCGCAGCTCCCGCAGCATGTCGTCTGTACCGGGTACCTGTGCAGCACGTTCTGCCAGTGCGCCTGGTCTGGGAGCGGGTGCGTGTGTATGGCGAGGCGGGTCCGCGCGCGCAGCTCCCGCAGCATGTCGTCTGTACCGGGTACCTGTGCAGCACGTTCTGCCAGTGCGCCTGGTCTGGGAGCGGGTGCGTGTGTATGGCGAGGCGGGTCCGCGCGCGCAGCTCCCGCAGCATGTCGTCTGTACCGGGTACCTGTGCAGCACGTTCTGCCAGTGCGCCTGGTCTGGGAGCGGGTGCGTGTGTATGGCGAGGCGGGTCCGCGCGCGCAGCTCCCGCAGCATGTCGTCTGTACCGGGTACCTGTGCAGCACGTTCTGCCAGTGCGCCTGGTCTGGGAGCGGGTGCGTGTGTATGGCGAGGCGGGTCCGCGCGCGCAGCTCCCGCAGCATGTCGTCTGTACCGGGTACCTGTGCAGCACGTTCTGCCAGTGCGCCTGGTCTGGGAGCGGGTGCGTGTGTATGGCGAGGCGGGTCCGCGCGCGCAGCTCCCGCAGCATGTCGTATGTACCGGGTACCTGTGCAGCACGTTCTGCCAGTGCGCCTGGTCTGGGAGCGGGTGCGTGTGTATGGCGAGGCGGGTCCGCGCGCGCAGCTCCCGCAGCATGTCGTCTGTACCGGGTACCTGTGCAGCACGTTCTGCCAGTGCGCCTGGTCTGGGAGCGGGTGCGTGTGTATGGCGAGGCGGGTCCGCGCGCGCAGCTCCCGCAGCATGTCGTATGTACCGGGTACCTGTGCAGCACGTTCTGCCAGTGCGCCTGGTCTGGGAGCGGGTGCGTGTGTATGGCGAGGCGGGTCCGCGCGCGCAGCTCCCGCAGCATGTCGTCTGTACCGGGTACCTGTGCAGCACGTTCTGCCAGTGCGCCTGGTCTGGGAGCGGGTGCGTGTGTATGGCGAGGCGGGTCCGCGCGCGCAGCTCCCGCAGCATGTCGTCTGTACCGGGTACCTGTGCAGCACGTTCTGCCAGTGCGCCTGGTCTGGGAGCGGGTGCGTGTGTATGGCGAGGCGGGTCCGCGCGCGCAGCTCCCGCAGCATGTCGTCTGTACCGGGTACCTGTGCAGCACGTTCTGCCAGTGCGCCTGGTCTGGGAGCGGGTGCGTGTGTATGGCGAGGCGGGTCCGCGCGCGCAGCTCCCGCAGCATGTCGTCTGTACCGGGTACCTGTGCAGCACGTTCTGCCAGTGCGCCTGGTCTGGGAGCGGGTGCGTGTGTATGGCGAGGCGGGTCCGCGCGCGCAGCTCCCGCAGCATGTCGTCTGTACCGGGTACCTGTGCAGCACGTTCTGCCAGTGCGCCTGGTCTGGGAGCGGGTGCGTGTGTATGGCGAGGCGGGTCCGCGCGCGCAGCTCCCGCAGCATGTCGTCTGTACCGGGTACCTGTGCAGCACGTTCTGCCAGTGCGCCTGGTCTGGGAGCGGGTGCGTGTGTATGGCGAGGCGGGTCCGCGCGCGCAGCTCCCGCAGCATGTCGTCTGTACCGGGTACCTGTGCAGCACGTTCTGCCAGTGCGCCTGGTCTGGGAGCGGGTGCGTGTGTATGGCGAGGCGGGTCCGCGCGCGCAGCTCCCGCAGCATGTCGTCTGTACCGGGTACCTGTGCAGCACGTTCTGCCAGTGCGCCTGGTCTGGGAGCGGGTGCGTGTGTATGGCGAGGCGGGTCCGCGCGCGCAGCTCCCGCAGCATGTCGTCTGTACCGGGTACCTGTGCAGCACGTTCTGCCAGTGCGCCTGGTCTGGGAGCGGGTGCGTGTGTATGGCGAGGCGGGTCCGCGCGCGCAGCTCCCGCAGCATGTCGTCTGTACCGGGTACCTGTGCAGCACGTTCTGCCAGTGCGCCTGGTCTGGGAGCGGGTGCGTGTGTATGGCGAGGCGGGTCCGCGCGCGCAGCTCCCGCAGCATGTCGTCTGTACCGGGTACCTGTGCAGCACGTTCTGCCAGTGCGCCTGGTCTGGGAGCGGGTGCGTGTGTATGGCGAGGCGGGTCCGCGCGCGCAGCTCCCGCAGCATGTCGTCTGTACCGGGTACCTGTGCAGCACGTTCTGCCAGTGCGCCTGGTCTGGGAGCGGGTGCGTGTGTATGGCGAGGCGGGTCCGCGCGCGCAGCTCCCGCAGCATGTCGTCTGTACCGGGTACCTGTGCAGCACGTTCTGCCAGTGCGCCTGGTCTGGGAGCGGGTGCGTGTGTATGGCGAGGCGGGTCCGCGCGCGCAGCTCCCGCAGCATGTCGTCTGTACCGGGTACCTGTGCAGCACGTTCTGCCAGTGCGCCTGGTCTGGGAGCGGGTGCGTGTGTATGGCGAGGCGGGTCCGCGCGCGCAGCTCCCGCAGCATGTCGTCTGTACCGGGTACCTGTGCAGCACGTTCTGCCAGTGCGCCTGGTCTGGGAGCGGGTGCGTGTGTATGGCGAGGCGGGTCCGCGCGCGCAGCTCCCGCAGCATGTCGTCGATGTCGAACACGAACGGCTGCTGCCCGAAGTTGGCGTCCACCACCTCGCCCGGGGTCTGCAGACCCACCGTGGGGTACAGGTTGGGCTGCGACACCATCAAAATATCGCATCACATCACACGTTACTCGACAAATTGAACCGGTCTTTCCCGAAACGGAAGACATAAGAAGCACAGAGAAATAACTCTTGTTAGGGATTGACATGTTAGAGATATAGAAAAACATGCTATATATATATATATATAAAATTCTCGTGTCACACCGTTAGTTACCATACTCCTCCGAAATGGCTTAACCGATTTTAAGAAATTTTATATGCATATTCAGTAGGTCTGAGAATCGGCTACTATCTATTTTTCATATCCCCAAATGATAAGGGTTGTCCAACCCTGAATTTCCTTATAATTCTTCGGACATTTTTTTTCTTTTTTTTTTCAGAAAACCTTTCAGTACTTTATGCGTGAACGCATAAACAAACTCACTTTCGCATTTATAATATTAGTTACGATTACACAATACACAGTCCTCGAGGAGGTGACAAGAGGTGAAGTACCAACATTATTGAAAATTAATCGATTACTCCTTCTTTCTTTTGCAGTGGTCAGTCATTAGATAGGCGACCAAAAATTTACTATCTCGAGCTCCTCCGTGCTTCGGATGGCATGTTAAGCCGTTGGTCCCGACTGTATTTGCAGTCGTTAGCACCCACCAATCCGCCCTGTGCCCGCGTGGTGGGTCATGGCCCAATCTCCCTATTGGATGCATAGAGAAGGCCTGTGCCCCAGTAGTGGGGACATTAATAGGCTAATGATGATGAAACCGAAAGAGAACAATGAAAATGCAACATACCGGCAGCCCTCTGAACGCGATGCCTAGATGGTGTCCGTTCTTAGTGTAGAAGCAGGTGTTGTCGACCAGGTTGACGCCACAGCCGATAACGTCGCCCGTTGTGAACGTCGGCCCGTAAGGCTGGCCGGTGCCCGATGAACAGAACGAGTGCCCGTCATCACCGTGGTAACCGTACGAGTGTTTGTCCCATCCTGGAGAAGGAAACAGCACGACTATATATAATGTTGTATTTTGACTTTTTTTCTAATTTTTTTTTTGTTACTTGAAAGCAAAGGATGATAAGTCCATTCATCCTTTCAAGTAATAAAAAAATGGGTGCGTGTTCTTATGTAGGCGCGTGAGAAGTTATCCTTCTTTGGCATCGTTTAAAATTAGTTTTTAATTGCATGCAAATAATTAATTACAATAAATTAATAAAAAGTCTGGAAAAGGACACAGTCAATAAAGTTCAGTTTTAATTTGAAAAAATAAATAAATAATCAAAATATTCAATTAAAATCGCTACTGAATATAATTTATTAGAACATATGTGATTTGCACTTGTATAAAACTCAAACACGTATTCCGAATATACAAACTAGAAACATGTGGATAAATATTATAAATATGAATACCTATAACTGTTACTTTATTACAAAAAATAAAGATGTGGTTTTTGGTTCTACTACACCAATGGTCAAGAGATGGCGCTGTAGTTTCCTGAATCGCGCTTTGGTTCCGTTGTTCCAGATTAATAAATACTTTGGATAGGCCTTCACAATGCAGTCGTTAGCACCCACTAAATAGAGATTCTATTTCTATTTTGTTGGTAGATTTTCTTAATGTGCGGTAAACACAAAAGTAACAGCATGAAGTTGGTCGCTTTAGAGCTTTGGTCGGTCGGTTTAATTTTTGTGTTACAGTGATGCGCGCACATCTTAAAATTTCACTCTCATCATTTTTTCATAACGCGCCTAAAGAAGTATAACTTCAAAAAATTTTTACATGTCTTTTTTTGTCACTAAACAGGCCCTGCCAGAATAACAGCGCTGGTGCGACACAATGTCGCATCAGCTAATGCTGAGGCAGGGTCCTGGTCAGCCCTGAGGTTTTTTTTTTTTATTTGTATCTGTAATGTGTAATATGAGGGTTAATAAAATTATATTCTATTCTATTCTACTATATAAGGAAACCGCCGAATACATATTCGTCTGATGAGGCATAGATATCCCCCCACGAGTAGGGTTACCAGATGAAAACATCAAAAGTCCGGAGAAAAGGCTTGATTTCCATTGAAAAATCCTGAGATTTTTACAATTTGAGAATTTTCTCTCAAACGTACTTAACAATGTAGAAAAGTCGTAATATTATCGTTTATATACATGCTGCCTATACTTTTAATTCAATATAATTTGAAGAGCTTAACTTGTGGGACATTTTATAAATCCATAATTAAAGAAAAAACCTTATTTAAATTGTATCATCACATATATAATGGGTATACATACACATCACATCACATATATTTTATGATAAAACTGATCAAGTACCTACTTAGATAAATAAGTATTGATTTTAACTGTGCAATTATTATCAAAGGAAGATTATTTTTAGTTTAAACGTTAGCTGTATTTTATTGAAAAATAAAAAATCCTGAGATTTCAAGAGATTTGCAAAATGCAGCCGCAATCTTGAGAGGGGTCCAAAAATCCTGAAATCTCAGGACAAAACCTGAGATATGGTAACCCTACCCACGAGTGGCGGATGTAGGTACACACAACAAAAAAAACGCGCAGTCGCACTCCCCCAACAACACTACAGTACAATCCGTTTATTATGACTTCAAAGGGAATCGACAAACACGTCATACTAAGCGGACGTCACACAAAGCATTTTTCTGAAAAAAGATTGTGAGATGAGTTTGATTCTCCATTTTCTAATCAGCATATCATTGCCAATGTAGTAGTAGAGTAGCCCAAGATCGATCTGAGTGGCGTGCATTTGGAGAGGCCTATGTCCAGCAGTGGACTAAGATAGGCTGTTGGTGATCATGATGATGATGATGATATTATTGCACCTTTTTCCTCAGTCGTAAATGCTTTACGACGTTTTATTACATAGGATATCACTAAAAACAATGCGTGGTGTTCAAATGTAAATTACTCACTGAGATTCAAAACAAAAACGAGCCACGTGCCGAACGTTGTCGGGAATCAACGAACATTACCGAAGGTGTAAAGAACCATGCCGGTCACTATAAACGCACCAAATTGATTAAAATGGGTCATAATAAGCGACAGGTCACTGTAAGCGAAGTCATTATATCCGACATTGTTACAATGAATTTTATATGAAAACCAAACTGCGTTGTGTAATTACGTCATAATAGGCGGTTGGTCAATATAGGCGGAGTCATAATAAACGGATTCTACTGTAGTTTACTATGCAGACAGGCCAAACTCACTTTACCACGAGTGAACACTGCGCTCTCCAAGACTCCTACAGCTAGTAGACCAACATTGAGCATGGTAACGAGTGTTATTACTGGATATGGCAATAGGGTATTTGACAAGTTTTAGAAAACGATCTCACGTTATTGACTAATGTTTATGGAGTCCGTAAAAAGTGGATATTCATCATTCTATTGTACATTTCAGTAAAAATAACCAAATCAAAAACTCCATTTTCAAGTTGCCGTGAAAACGTTTCTCTGTACAGTATGGCGTCTTACTAGTGTGTGACGTCACACGACTGTTATTAAAACGTCAAACGATACAATTTACTTGCGTGTGACGTCATTTTAGGTACCGCCAATCCCAAGCGTTTTGAGTCACGTGACTATAGATAAGATAACTATTATATTTTTCGTGGGTTTTTAGTAAAACTATGAATATTTTTTTTTTGAAAAATACTAAAATCCCCTGCCAATATTCATTCTAAACACAGATGCTAACAATTGGCACTTTATTTTTAATACTGTCAAATATCCTATTTTAACAGTCATCTTTTCAACCTAGGTGTCACAGACAGCCCCCTATGCAGAGGATACATGGAGACGGAACAAACTGCTCAATGCGGCCTAATATCGAGTAAAATACCCCGGCTCACCTAACCTCCAAGAGGAACATAGAGAATAAATTGAGCATTCTCTAACAAACTATAAAGTAAGCCTAGGCTAATAAGTGGCAAAGCAATCATATAATTCTTAATTCGTCTAGAGTTGTCAATTTCCTCGTATCATCACTATAATTTACGTCACGACACCCGTGACGATGGTCAGTCCGTACGGCTGGCCCATGCCTGACGAGCGAGTCGTCATCGTGGTAGCCATACGACTTGGCTACAACCAATATGAAGGGGACGTCCTGAGCAAAACTGAGCTTGCTGGATTTACTCCGGCAACATAACCTCCACACGCAAAACAGGCTTTAATTGCGAAAACGCCCGTTGCAAAGAAAAAACACGGCGTAAGCGTAAAGTAAAACTGAGAGTAAACTAAGAGATCAAGCAATCTGTGGTTTTTCTCATTGTAGAAAATTTCCTCACATCATAACCTAAATAACAGCACGACAGCGATGGTAAAGGTCGGCCTGTACGGCTGGCTAGTGCCCGATAAGCAGAAAGAGTGGCCGTCGTCACTATGGTAACCATACGAGTGTTTGTCCCTCCCTAGAGGGGAAGGCACATCATTGCTTTAGGCCTAAAAACCACCTCACCCCTCCTGATGTTAATTATGTGTAGGAACGTAAAGTTAGTTGATGATGCGACAGAAAAGTGAGTGGCTCCAGCCATCCTCATCTTGCTGACCTAAATCCAATCCCTCCTCTCCTTGAGCCTTCAGAAGCTTACTCATCAAATGAAACACCACCAAAATGCTGTATATTTTACTGTGATCTTCTGTAAAGTGGAGGTTATAATTTTTATTTTTTTAAAGCATGTAACTGCTTGATGTTTAAATCTACAGATTGAGATTATGTCAGTGCATTCGCCCGGATTGCGAAGGGTGCGGGTTCGAGTCCAATCTGCTGCCTAGTCCACGTGGATTTTTTTCTAGTTATGTTTTCTTTAGATTTAAACATTAAGCAGTTACATGCTTTAAAAAAATAAAAATTATAACTATAATTGCTAATTCTTCTTTCAAATGTTTAATACTTATAAAAGTATTCATTTGACATTGTGGGTTACCTATAATGCGAAGAGATGGCGCTGCCTTGCAGCTTCAGAATGGCTAGAGGAATTTCGACGCGGTCCGTGAGGGCCGCGGTAGCATAATTGGTCAGTGCATTCGCCCGGATTGCGAAGGGTGGGGGTTCTAGTCCCGTCTGCTGCCTGGTCCGCGTGGAATTTTTTCTAGTTCTGTTTTCTTAAGTGGAGGTTACTTCCTCAAATGGGTATTTCAATTTAATTGATTAATTCAGTGGTTCTCAAACTTTTTAAATGACGGAACCCTTTTGGGAAGCAAAATACTTGATGGAACCCTACAATAAAACAATTATTTTTATAAGTGTATTCTATATTAATCAGCATAATAAAAGTACAATGTATCCGTTACTAATTATTATTTACTTCACCACTTGGTAAGGACAATAATAGAAAACATTAAAAAAGAAAAAATCTAACTAGTGGGAGGTATGAAACTGTTTTTTATTTTTCATCAATTGCTTGATATCAGGTTTGATGGAAGAAAGTTGGAGTCTCATATCAGCTTCGGCGTCCAGTCTATTGCGATATTTTGTTTTCGTGGCTGCGTAGGTAGAGAATCCTGTTTCGCACAAATATGTAGTTGGGAACGGGAGAAGAATATCCAGAGCCATTTGGCCAAGCATTGCATATTCATCTTGGATTCTGCACCAAAAATCATTAAGAGGCGTCGTTTTGAACAATGACTCCATACTTGTGTCTGATGACATTTCTAAAAGAGATTCATATATCTCATTTGACATGTTTTCAGGCTTTTCCAAGTTGGGTAAAAAAGGATTATGAATCCAGGAGTTCACTTTAATTTTTGTATTGTGTTCTTCGGGAAAATACTTTTCAAAAGATGCGCGCATCGAACTGAGATATTGGACCAATTCTTCAAACACATTATCTTCAAACATTTCTGAGTCGTTTTCGCTAACAAACTCAGTGAGTAACGTAAAACTTTCTATTTCTTTCTTACCAATGCAAATGATCCAAAAATCTAATTTTCTTTTAAAAGTAGTTATTTTATTATAGGCCTGAAACACTGTTGTCTGTTTACCTTGCAATGATAAATTTAATTCGTTAAGTTTTTGAAAGATATCCGCCATAAAAGACAATCGGAACAACCAAGTTTTATCATACAAACGGTCCTTCAAATTAAAAGAAGTATCTGCTGAAAGAAACATTTGTAACTCGGCTCTAAGTTCAAATAGCCTTGTTAAAGTTTTTCCCCGAGACAGCCATCGCACTTCTGTATGGAGCAGCAGTGTTTTATGTTTGCTGCCATAATCTTCACACAATAATGAGAACAATCGGGATTGTAGTGGTCGTGATTTGATAAAATTAATTATTTTTACCGCTTCATCCATAACTAATTTTAGATTAGACGGCATTTGCTTCATCGCAAGTGCTTGTCTATGCAGAATACAATGACTGGAACTACAATTAGGCGCTTTATTTTTCATTCGTGACACTGCTCCTGCTGTTTTACCTGTCATCGCCTTGGCCCCATCTGTACAAATGTCAATGCAATTGTTCCAACTGAGATTATGTTCTTCAAAAAATATATTTATTTTATTAAAAATTTCTTCCCCGGTAGTGTTTGTAAGCAGCGATGAACACATAAGCATGTCTTCTTCAAAAGAACTTTTATATGGATATCTCACAATAACCAGCAGGATAGCCAAACCAGCGACATCAGTCGACTCGTCCATTTGCAAAGCGAATCGTGTATTTTGTAGACGTGTAACTAGTTCTTGTTTGACGTAGCTTGCCAGATCATGGATTCGTCGTGAAACAGTATCGTTTGATAGCGGAACAGTAGAAAGATGCTTTGCAGATTTTTCATCAAGCATACATTTTGTTATGTCTAATACACATGGTTTTATTAATTTCTCAGCGATAGTGTGCGCTTCACCTGCTTGTGCAATGCGATAGCTAACTAAGTATGATGCCTCCGTGGCCTTTTCGTTGGTAGTTTGTGTTACATGCATCATATTTTTTTGACTTTCTAATAACTGATCTTTTTTGCGAACAAAAAATTCTTTATTCTTGTCTTTAGTCTCGGGGTGTACGGTTTCTAAATGTCGACGCAATTTGGCAGGTGCCATGGAACTATTAGGAAGCAGTTTACTACAGAGCATGCAGAGAGGTGAGCCGTTGGAATCAACAAATCCGAAACTGATATAAGATTCATCATACTTCCTTTTTTTCGTCTTTGAAACCGTCGAGCTTGACGTCGTGGCACTCGTGGCATCATCTTCTGGATCGGTGATTGCTAAATTCTCCGCGCGCATTGCTTTTGAACATTCAGCGTCATTAGAAGATGTTGTTGGAACACGTTTAACACCTTTAAGCCAACGTTCCATTCTTCTTTATTTATAATGTTACAAGTCAGGATAGTGGGGTTTAAATAATGCACAATCGTTACTGCGTATAAGAGACTAAATTTAGAACCTACAGGGAAGAAATGTATAAAACTGAGACAACAGAATACAGCAGGCAGTAAAACAATGAACACCAGTTTCTCGCTAGCGAGCTTGTAAGTAGGTAGTAACTTATCGCTCCGAACGCTAATCATCAACTGACGACGCCAACGCGCGATCGCCGCTTTTATACTTAGTCCTAGACTCGATCTCAAATATTCTCGAAAATACTCGAGTCGGCACCTTTGATAAACAAAAAGCAAAAATAAAAACAGAAATTTAAAAATAGCGTTGTAAACAATATCGACTTTATCCTTTGAAGTTAGAGACGAAAGTCGCTAGTTGACAACTATAGCGTCTAATTCAGAGGCGGCTTTTATCAAAGAGACTGAGCGCTTACAAGTATACTACCCGCTCGTTTTAAGTTTGCCGCTGGCGATAGGTATGAGTGTATGACGTTCGAAATTTTTTATTTAATTGTAACAATAAAAATTGTGTACGTTAGATATTTGGGTAAAACTATGACACATTATAAGTTTTGTTGTCACGTGGGGGAGGGTACGCGCATTCCACAGACCGGCAAACTTAGAGCGAACGCGTTGTACAAGTATAAAATTGTTGAGACCAAACTTATGAGATATTGTACCAGCTAATGTAACACAAGCTTATACAAATACAAATAAATAAATAAATAACATTCATAGCGTTTTGTCTCCGCGCGGCCGCGGAGTCCGCACAGCCGCGGAGCGACCAGAGAGAGGTGTTTTGATTTTTTTATTTCTAAATTCTTGCGGAACCCCGACAGAGGTATCACGGAACCCTAGGGTTCCGCGGAACACACTTAGAGTATAGCTGGATTAATTGAATCAATTAGGATAATCCGCTATCCTCTTAACTAAAATAGGAGACGTAGGACATTGCATATTTCCAAATGAAAGTGTAGCGACTACGAAAACAAAAGTATGTAACACTAGGTTCGGGTGGTGTTTTTGTCGAAGAGTAAGATTTCCAGGACTCCGAGTACTACCTTCTGAACTCTCCACTTGTCAGATTGGTAAATCATTTGCAAAGCTTTCCATAATTAATGACTTACCAGGAAGGCGGTTCATGTTGACGCCGTGTGCTGACAGACCGATACCCATGTATCCATCGCGTCCTTTCGACACGATGCGCACTTCGAAGTAGTACAGGCCACACGACGCCGGTATGGGATGTGTCGCCCGCACACTGGCCGCGTCCTTGTGTGTCTTACCATGCCCTGGAGATGTATAAAAGAAAACATTTTAATGCTGGGCAAGCAATAGGAATAAACAAGGAGAGACCAATTTATACAGGGTGTTACAAAAATACAAATAAAGCTTGAAGGGTGTTGAAGTACATCATATAAGTAGTCTTCTAATTTTCTTAATATATTTGCATGAAGTTTTAAGTTTTTATAAAAACAATTTTTAATGATCCTCGAACTAGCGACGTGTCTTAAAATGATCGATATTTTTATTAATAATTAACAATAACTGTTTTTATAAAAAGTTAAAACTTCATGCAAATATTTTAAGACTACTCCTTATATGATGTACTTAAACGCCCTTCAAGCTTTATTTGTACTTTTGTAACACCCCGTATAATTCCCATTTTCACTCTGCCGAGACTTGATCAATTAGATCGACCAGTTAATGGAGTAATGCCATTGGAGGAGTTTTTTAAATGTAACCAAATTATTTGAGCTTGGTAATCTCCACCAGCGTTTAAATCTGAATTATTAAATAGGTAGGGTATTCGAAATCCTAGAAGAAGTGTAAAAGCAGTTGGAATAGAAAATATTAAGAGCCCTTTTACAAAATTGCGCCGCTGCCGTACTGAGCGGCGCGTAGGTAGATTGTAGATTTGCACTTGTATATATTGCATTTTACGGATGATGTTTCGCGTCTTATAAAATAATTATTAATGAACTATAATTATAAAAAATATCTACATATTTCAGTAGTTCAATGATGGTAAATTAGTTTTATGAAAGTTTTTGATAGTAATTCTATTTAATTCAGTATCAAAATACGAGGTAAACCTGCATTATTTTTTGAGAAAACTCATGGAGGTTAGATGTTTTTTTTTGATAATTAATGAGATGGAAAATCAATATTCTAATACATTATGTTATAACAAAAACATATTTCTAATGTCGTAGTAATTAATTTGATCTAATTTATTGAACATTATTGAGAGATTGAGGCGTTTTAAGTTGTGTATATTATCGTTTTTTCAGTAAACTAGCTTCAGTAGAACGATCAGTACAAAAAATGGAAAATAGTATTTGCAGATATTCTACATTATTTGTTTCTTAGGTTTTCACGCACATCACTCATTAAATAAAACTAGTTTTTTACGGGTTAATGCACGAAACTTTATTTATTTATTGACGTACCTTCGAAGGTAGCTCGACAAATTAAATAAAAATTTGATTCCGACGACGTAGCCTGTAAAGGCTACGAAACGTCAATAAATAAATAAAGTTTCGTGCATTAACCCGTAAAAACTAGTTTTATTCTACATTAACTTACAATAGGAAGAATAAATCGACTGTTTACTTCTATTGGCAATAGTCAAAATCTTTTCTAAGGGGGTAAACGACGTGCTCAATAATTAAGATTTTTTGCAAAAAAATGTGAAAGGGCTCTTAAGTTTATATCTTTTGTTAACAAATATTAGTACAACACAAATACATGCCTGAGGGTTAATTAACTATATTAACTATAATGTGCATTCACTAGATATAGTTAGTCACTCTAGCAAGTCCTTAATTTATCACTAAGATATTCTATCGATACATCGATATTATAATAGAACCAGCAACGTTTGCTAAATTTTAATTAATATTCCTAAGCTGCGACTGCTGCGAGGATGCACTTAGAAGTTTATATTTCATCTTTGTCATCATAAGCCTATTAATTTCCCCACAGCTGGGGCACAGACCTGGAAAAGCCAGATCAGCGTCCACATAACCTACCACGCGTGGCCAGCACGGAGATGCCTTCCGAAGCACTGAGGAGCTCGAGATAACAAAATTTAGGCACCTTTTCTATGGCCGACCTTTGCGACAGTTGTATAATTTCCACGACCCGAGCGCGTCGACCTCTGCGCCTCTTTGATATATTATACTATCGGTTTTTTTTTTATGTGAAGAGGCTTTTAATATGATAAGTTAAGTTCGTTAGAGCGTCCTACGGCAGAGGTCGAGCCGACATTGCGACAACTTTGCGGCAGACTGCCGGAGCGTAGCGGCCTACGCGCTCATCTCATCCCACGAGAGGCTGGCTCTAATTAACACAAACTTCTTCATCAAACTGACACATCACAATTTTCATATTTTCTTGAGTATTCTTATAAAATAAAACAAACACTACACACCCAAATTTTAAAATCAGGTTACAAAGTTATACGAGTACAGCAATGTTTATAGTGCGATTCAAATAAGAATAGGAAAGCCTTCCTCCGCCAACTGTCAAAAGTCGCTTGAAAAGTACGGTTTGCAAAAAATCTCGGAACCCTTTTTTAGCACTCGGCTAATTCTAGTATAAAAACCAATCATTTTTGAACAAACAATAACAAATATTTTTTTATATTATATTTATATCTTTTTTTCATTTATTGGGCTTTGGCTATGAATGGTTGATAACCTGAAGCGTCAAAAAAATGTCACTATGTTGCGTTCAGAAACTCGATTTAAACTTTCGTTTACAATCTTAGTAAATAAGTTTTATTAGATAAAAACTGTTTTGCTCACTCTACCTATTTGGTTTGTATTGACAGCTATGACGTCACAATATGGCGCCCAGTCGGTACTATTCTTAATTGAATCGCATTATACAATCCTCAGCTCCTATTTCCAAAATATGCACCTAAACAGTTTCGATTGGACGCTAGGTACAAGAAATGCTTGGGTATTTAGAGTAATACATTTGAGAAAGTTATCATCAATATTCTGGAAGAATTAGCTAACACGCCATTGAAATTGAGCCAAAATCCCAGCCCGGATATCGTTGCTTACAAACTTCCGAGCAAGGCCGCGTGTGTTAACGACCTCAATGCATCACCAAAACCTAATTCACACTATTATAACCAAAAATAATAATATAGATAATAATAGCAGCAGTCTTTTCCGATCCGAACAATATATAATAGAATTATCAAACACAATAGAATTTAGTATTAATCTGAACTTAATACACTGACGTTAAAGTTGTTATTTGTATACGATATCAAACGGCGTCACTGGCGCAAAACGATTAGTATATCACAAGGACGGCCAGTGCAAAGACACTACGTTACATTTTAATATGCAGGATCGCTGCTGGAATAGATCAGTGGCATACAATTTGGTAGTAACACACAAGATGTCATGGAATATTTAAGTGATAGACAGTGGCGGCCAGTTTTAACAACATTTCAAAAGGTAGATCGCCCGTCGGGGAACTTTTCCTTCACCATAAAGAACAACCCAGTGAAATAACACTACCCCTTTGTAGGACATGATTCTCTGGGTAAGAGTTTCAGGTCTCCACGTTGTAGGTAGAGGATGATGTCAAGGCCGACAACGCCGGCAATGGTGACCGATCACCACCAGACGGTCCATATTCAAATAAGAAATATAAAAAAAATACTGGACTGCAGTAGATAAAGTACTGTCCACGCCACGCCGCTGTGGCTATCTTAAAAAGTCGTAAACATGATCAAACACGAGGTTCCCACAAAGTTGAGCGGTGCGCGTACGCAGGACGGCTGCCGATGCCGCGCCGTGTGTAGTAGGGATTTTTGAAAGTTGAAAAAAACATCGATATATCGATGCATCGATGTTTTAAAAAATATCAATATCGGCTTCGATATATCGCGAAAAAAACATCGATATATCGATATATCGGACCAATTTTCCCAAAAATATCGTACAGTAGCTCACGAAATATAACACGCGGAATAATAATGGAACGAAAATTATCTCCCTAAAAATAGACCCTATTTTCGAATGATGAAAATGATTGCAGGGCCTCTCACGTAAATGATTGCAGGGTCTCTTTCGTTAACAAGACTAGATAGTCACACACTTCACAGAATATAATGGAAATCAGCACAACCAATTCACCAGCGAAACAGATTTACAAATAATAGACAATACTAAATACAGCACAGATCATAGATATTATGTTGAATATCATTAATCTGAGATCCAGTAACGATTTTTCCAGATACGAATTTAGTTAAATCGTGATATGCCGCTAATAAATTAAAAAATATCGTTTTTGATACGAAATCGATATTGGTTATTTTGTATCGATGTATCGATATATCGAATCAAAATATATCGGCAAAAAATATCGATATATCGATACATCGATATATTTTCAACAAGCCTAGTGTGTAGCGACATAGTTGAACGACTCCGCAGTGTGCATAACAACACTAGATAAATGACCGTGGGTGGATCCACTCGACACGGACATAACGGACGACGCCAAAACAAGAAAACAAGCGTATACTTCATACGCATTAGCTGCTCAAATGTGATGAACACGTGGACAATACACTATGAGTAGCAATCAATGTTCACAGACTACTAGATCCAATTAACTTAGAGCGAAAGTAAAACTCAATTAATCATAATATTTATTTGTAACACACTCCAACAACAACGACTGTTCTAGTCTGTTTACAATGTTTCTTACCAAATGAAATGCATTTTTGCATGCAAGACCAGAATATTGCAAGCATTCCACAACCTAACAATGGCAGAATACATTATCCAGCACCGCACTTGTCATACGGTATGAATTATGATAAAAACAAATGCGTGGCTGATAAACGCATCAATTTATTACCACTGAAACTGGGTAATATTGATGGCCGTCTGGTTGTGATCTGATAGCAGCCAATGCGCTCAACAACAAACAAATATGAGTGCAGTCGAAAGAAGGCGGTTCATCGGCCTCTCATCCTCCCCGGCCGCTTGACCTTCGGCAGGTGAATTGTGGAATGGCTTGACTCACTGTCGATAATGGTTTTAACAGTGACGCTGCGAGTTTTGCTGCCATTTCTCTACCCCGTAATGCAACCACTGACAGCCGCTATTTACTCTAAGTCCCCTCGCCTATAGCAGGTCGACGTGCTGAATCATCGCCAGACACGTAATTTTCTTGATAACAATTATCAAAAGTGGGTAAGAGGCCAAGGAAATAATCGCGAATTACGTAGTTCTCGTTTATTTGATCACGC